GTTGTCATTGCAAGGTGGCAGTGGGCACTGTACTTGGTCTGGTTGGTGCGGCTCTCAGGGATGCCCACAGTCCCTGTCCTTGGAGCCCTCTGGGGCGGCTGAAGGGCCATGCTACAGAGCTGGGCTTCCTCTCCATCCTCCTTGGGGCTGAGCTTGCTGGTGGACCCAGCAGTAGCTCAGCGGGTACCTGGCTCTGCTGTCCACCTGGGGCTGACCTTGCCTGGCCAGGCGTGGCGACCTGCTCTGACTGTCACAGGCTGTCCCCAGAGTCTCAGGAAGAGGAGACTCCTTGCCCCAGGCCTCCCCCAGGTACACTGGCAGGGTCTTCGGGGCTGGGGGACACCCACACAGGCTTCAAGCCCAGGAGACTCTTTCTCTGCCGTGCTGAGGTGCTGTGATGGGTGGACCCCACGGGTGGCCGGGACGGTCTGCAGCTGTCATCTGGGTGGCAGACCGAGCCCTGACAGCTAAATGTAGGTGGTGGCCCCGGGGGCAGAGGGAGGGAGAGCCGCAGAGGTGGGTGTGGGCCGGACCACCCAACACTGAACTGTGGACCCCGGGGCAGCAGAAAGCACATGAGGCCAGGGCAGGGCGACCAGGGGCCCCCGGCAGCCAGCGACAGACCGAGGCAAGCTGCAGAGGACGTGGGCCCCTAGGGTGGACAGAAGCACAAACACCGCCACGGGGCTCTTCTGGAAGGTTCTGGGGCTCTGGAGAGCTGCTTTCTCTTCCGACCCTGACCTGCCCATGGGCTCTGAGCCCCAGAAGTCCATGGATGTGGAGGTGGCCACAGAGGGCCACCCAGCCGCTCCTACCCAGGCTGGGGACAATGTGAGCTGCCACCTGTGAAGGCTGAGGACACAGTCCTCGCGCCCCCACCCACCCCCACCCCCAGGGCCTGGCAACTCGCTCCCTGGGATGCCATGGAGAGCACCTGGGACCCTGCAGCAGCTGCCCGGGGACATGCCAGGCTGCCCAGTGGGAGAGGCACTGAGGCCCCCAGCTGGCAGTGGGGTAGCTGGCCATTCTGGCTGGTCCAGGACATTCTAGGTTTTAGCAACGGGAGCCCCGGGTCCAGGGTGGGGCCACAGCCCTGGGTAAACTTGGAAGGTGGTTTCCACTATTGGCACAGTCGGTCTTGAGACTCACTCAGCCCAGCGCTCCCTTGAGGACCCAGAAAGGAATCCTGCTTCAGGGAGGAGCCTTGAGACCACCAGGCTCCACACACAGAGAACCCCTCTCCTACCCACCTCCCACCCAGAGCAGGAGGGGCTGCCCCGCCTGTCCTGTCCTCTGGGGCGAGGGGGTGACTAAGAGTGGGTGTCTCATAAACCTTCGTGCAGCTGTTGACTTACAATGGGGGAGGGTGGGGACAGGGTACTGCCCACCTCACTGTCCCGGCCGGGAACTGGGCACTGGTTGTGCCACCAGGCAAGTGGCTGCCCTGCCCCTTGGGACACTGGCCGTGCCATGCCAGGAGCTGCACACCCAGAGCTCAGGGCAGGAGGCTGGGGAAGCCAGAGGCTGTGGGATGGTCTGGCAGAAGCCCCAGGGCCCCCTTGTCCATCAAGCCACCCTGAGAGAGCGGCCTGGTGGGGACTACGTGGGTGTGGTGCCAGCTGGGGGTGGGGCAGGTGCACAGTCCCAGAGGGAAGGACAGCGGCCGCCCGACGGGCCCAGGATGGCGAAGCCACAGCGGACACAGAAGAGGTAGCAGGCAGCACTCAGCTCCAGGCTCACAGCGTCAGCATGCAGCGTGGGGGGCAGGGGTGGGGCAGCGGCAG